TGCTAACATGCCGTCGACGAGTCCTTTGCAAGTCATTGGTAGACAAGGAAGAGTGGCTTAAGTTGCTTCGTCAGGAACGCAGAGATTTCCGTCGCTCCATGAAAGCACAACGCCGCAGTCTGCGGACAATTTTTTCCCCTGGACCCTGACCAACTTTTTGCGGGATCTTCGATGCCCCGAATTCACCCCGCCACGTCGCGGGAGAAGTCTTTACCCCGTTGGGAGACTTGAGCAACTTCTGTTCTTACAGATGCCTCACATGGTTCAAACGTGTTGTTGACTCACGGCTTCACAGTACTTGACCTTTACAGCCGAATATTTCACCGGCAATCAAATGCCCACAGAGTAGCATATTAACAATTAATGTCTCATTTATTATTATTATTATGGCGCTTCTTGTAGATCCTCCAGATCGGTAACGAGGCTCCCAATATCATTGGCTCCTCTATCGACATTTTCTGGATGGTGATCCAAATCGGCCACAATAGGTTCTTCCTCTTCATCGCCTTCATCACCCAAATCGTTGTCATCTGATTCATAGTCATCATCCCCTTGGAATCTGACAGTGAGTTCCGGTATATTATCAACATCATTGTCTGCATCTGCCAAGAGCTCATTTCTTTTGGAGTCATCGATATCATCAAATTGTCCACGTAGGTTGAAATCACGTTCATCTTCATCTTCAGGTTCATAGTCCTGATCAAAGGCTTCCTCTAAGTAACCTTGTTCCGTGTCATCCACTCCTGCGATTTGATCGCCATTTTGAAATGTCTCCAAATCTCTCTTCTTATCGAAGAACTTCATGGAGGTAACACCTTCGGCAGCAGCCCAAGCTTCAATACGCTGGATTACTTGGTCGGTAACAGGTAGTACAACCACCTTGGGTCAAGAAATCATTTTCTTAGTATTGAGGTTGAGTACTCGGTGCCCAGTACGTTGTCCTTTGATACTTTGTGGTTCCATCAATTGTTGGAATCCGTCCCAATTGCATGTACATACTGTCCAAGCTCAGCAACCATGTCACTCTTGTAGTTGATATTGACATTATCAATGAGTTGCTGTGGGCTGAAATGTGAGGAAATACTGTCTTTCTGGAGAAAGACACTCAATAGCTCGGCGGCTCGACGTCCAAGGCATTCAGTGATCACCTTTGGTACCACTTTGTAGGGTAATCGTGCAAGAGCTACTCTGACTCTCTCTTTCAGCGTCCGATTGTTTTGCTCAGCTGTAGGCTCGTGGTCTCCAGATGCAGTCGGATCAATAGTAACACCCATATCGTCTAGCATATCATCCGTAAGAGGAATGAATGCCCGATCACACTTGATCGTCTTGACATAAAAGCCTGCGTTATTGTAGCGGCGGAATATCTTATCCAATGCTTCAAATACAGGGTCAGTCTTCAGGTTCTGCATGGGAATGCATGAGCGATAATACACAGTGGTATCAATGCAGGTGAGAAACTTAGCATCTCCAATCTCATGTGATCAATACAGACAATAATTGTTTGATTGTAATGAAGATTTGTGAGTGAGTCTTCCTTCTGGTCAATAGAGCCCAAGTTTGCTTGTCTGCATGCTACTCTTAAATAACGAAACCACTCTAGATAATGATTCTGGAGAACATAGTTTGAGAGAAAGGTAGGCGCTAAATGGGCCATGCAGGCTTGGAAAATTGCATGGCCATTCGGTAGAATGGCCCAGCCGGTAGACTGGCCCTGCCATTCTGTAGAATGGGCCAGTCGGTAGAATGGCGGTCACATTTCCAAGTCTGCGAAGAACACAACGACTTTATTATTTTAACATGCCACTACACCATACACAACACCAGAAATCAGTTATTCCAACAACAACAAGGTCGCCTCGAGGACACAAAGGAGTCCGTAGGTTTTGTTCTTCTCTTCCCGTCCCAGCTGAATAGCTTGATCTCTATCAGCGTTTCCTTTTACAGAGATATGAGATTGTAGCTCTGTCACAGTGGTTTCGTACTCTCCTATCACCGTGTGTTTTCCATTGTTGTTGTAATCAAGTACTTGGATTCTCAATGGCCAATCGAGTTTACCGTAGCACAACTCTTCTAAGCCAATATTTGCAGCAGCCCATAATGGGTTCAGATGATTGTGAACAGTTTCGGATCTGTAAACCACGTTCCATTTCACGTGGGCCACGGAGTAGTCACTGCAGGATTCTTTAGCACTAGTTGTCAGAGTATAAAACGTAAAGACAAAGTAACTCACGAATCTTTTTTCGAGACTTCATAAAATGGGTCAGAACGGCCCAGACCAAAGATTCCGGGCTCAACGTTTTTCATATCCAGTCCCCTGAGCCGCAGCTTGATTTTGCCTATAGAATTTCCGATTCGGCTCTTTTCCACATGCAAAAATAACCTGCGCAAAGATGATGAGGGTCGATCCATATCACTACCTCGATTCTATGGATTATTGAGAGAGAAGTGCTTACCTGCTGGCTGTGCGTCGACCAATTTGCTCTGATGAAGTTCGCCCAGGCTCCTGGAAAACAGTGGTTGCTTCAAATGTTGCTTTACCGATAAACGAGTCCTTTCCCCTTTCAACTTTTGAGAAAATGGACACTTCCAGGCTTGTTACCTCACTTGAATCAAAGTCAAGGAAGAATATTTTCGACCAGTCTGGAGAAGAATTTGGAACACATTCTGTCGTGCCAAGCTCCGTTCCTTCCCTAGAACCTGAAACTACTTTCACCTTTGCGTACGGCGAGGACTTCTGAAAGAAGCCACTAGGATTTGGCAAATCAATAGCATTCAATGAAATCTGATAGCGCTCCATCGTGCTTTGACCTGGAGTCGACACGGAAACAATTGAAGTCTGAGTCGACCGTCATGCTTCCTGCCTATCGGTACCTGGTACTGTATGTATGAATTAGCGTTATTCCATCCATATTTCGACTAACTGGAATGAAAATGAAATTTGCATAACTTAGTTCCGTATTCTTTCGTTGCACCAAGCAAATCCTCGAACGTCGGCACCACCCAAATAATGTACTTTCTGGCGTCGTCGCTTCATTCCAGCTCTCATCAGGCAATCATTCATGCGATGGAGACTCCAATCGAATCTAGATTTCAGGATTCAGAGATGACTCAAAATGGGAGACTAGTATCTGTCGAATCACGAACAAGACGTCGGAAGAGAACCGGTCTATCGCAATGGATGTGCCGCTTTAGAAGAACAGAGTCTTCAGCCATTGTCATTTCAGACTTCAGTGATGGCGAAGAAGCAGGGGATGCGTCTAGTGCTTTCGAATCGACGGAATGTGATGGTTCAGTCGCATCAGAGGGTGGGTACAAACGGAACTGTAGGGACAGTCGTTGCCCGATTGAAGTGATGCCTTTCAAGAGGATGTACTTCAATGACTTTCCTTGTGATGGAAAAGTAGATGACCAGTATCAGTCTGTCAGCGACAAAGAAGATGGATTGGAAAATGGCAATACAATATGCAATCCATGTAAATCAGTCGAGGATGGTATTCAAGGAAGCACTATAAAATGTATGGCACTGACTAAAAGGGGCAATCCGTGCATGCACCTTGCGATTGACGGCTCTTTTTTCTGCACTCGACATGATAACTACGGCTCCAAAGTAAAAAAAATAGTACAGAAACGACTGAACGAAGATGAAAAGATGAATTGTATGGATATCCCGTTTACCGTGGGAAGAGGGCAATATAGGTGTATTGGACTAAACAACAGAGGTGAATTGTGCGGAAACCAATCTGTCAATGACACAGTATACTGTTACACCCATGCAGAGGTTGTATATGAGGTTAGTGGAGGGGCTACAGCGCAGACCGAGCCGGATAGCTCGACCGATGATAGGAGTGCAGCATCGAGTACAAAGAGCTGTTCCACCGTTTCTGACGAGGAAGCAATTGACAGCGGTCCCAGGCCTTACAAATACAGAGAGTTTATTCAAATGTGGACAGATGGCGAAGAGTACTTTGGCGAGGGAACAGATGAAATAGAAAGTACTCGTCGTGTTCGTGGAGCAAATAGTCGAGTGTCCCCTGAAGATACAGATGGACAATTGAAGGCGCAATACGGAAGACTCTTACCAAGTGCCATGAAGGTTTGTTATAATTGTTCTGGGCATTGCCGCGAAATACAGTCTCTAACTCTCTACGGCGGGTTCCTTACGTAGATTTTGATGTCGAAAGTCCTGCAGTTGAGGAGAGAAGATGTCTTCCTTGACATTGGTCATGGTATTGGCAATGCGTGCATACAGGCAGCTTTCACTTTTGGATGTGAAGCACGAGGGATTGAAGTTGTTGCCGATCGAAACTCGGTTGCAGAGGTATTTCGAGATCATTTGGAGTCTCAGGCCAAGGGAAACGAGACTGATCGCGTTGTCGGTGACATCCACCTGAAACATGGTCGCTTGGAAGACATTGAACACCGAGAATTTCTCACTCAAGGAGTAACGCGAGCCTATGTTAACAACTTCAATGGTGTTTTTGCTGATAGGTCGTCCAAGGGTAACCAAAAGTGGTATTTGGATGATTATGTCGCCGGACTATTTGCATTAATGAAGCCAGGAACACTGATGATAACTCTTCATCCTCTTAATCTTGGGCCTACCAGAAAGGAAGCAAATGATAGTAGAAAGAAGCAGGGTTTGAGCAAAAGTGATAACGCATCGTTTTACGAGGTTGAGCGACTCCTTTTGGGGAAAGCATGTGACACAGTGAAATGGACACAGAAGTCTGGAAACCGCAACAATATCTATATCTACAAGCATACTCGTCTAGAGCAAGAGTCTGAAGAATCTGTTTTTCTATGTTGCAACCCATCTTGTAAGTTTGCCAAGGATGAAGTCACGATCTCAGCAACAGCACTGAACGATGAAGACAGGGTGGTTATGAATCATTGCGAGTGCAAGATCACAGCAAAAAATCTTCGCCGACATACAAAGAAGTCTTATTCTTAAGAATTGTGGCTGTAAAATGGGATGGAAAATATAGAGCGCAGAATAGTCATCGTTCTGTCCTATGCTCCTGAAAGTACTTTTCACAATTGAGGCTGTGATGTCGTTTATGCAGTGGTTTGTGGTTGTGTGTTTTTTTTGGGTCTTGAGTCTGATGGTATCAAGAAATGCATGCTGTGGAAATAGGGCCACCCGCCCTCTACAAGGTAGTTTGTGGAGTCTGCTACTTTTCTTAGAATTCATTGGACAGGGGGTGGAGAACAATGATTCATGGTCCATTACCAAATCGTCAGAGTTCCTCGTGCTCCTTTGCGTGACACTGATGGATTCAGATCATAAATATGGTGCCATTCTTGAATATCGTCGGTGGGTTCCATGTAAACACCCTCGATCGTCCGAGCAGCCATATTGTTCTTGGTATCATGCCCATAGCCATGGACATATGCACCAATCTTGGCAACAAATTCTTTAGAGGCATCAACCATTCGTTGATGCATTATCATATGCGGGCTATAGTATTCGGACAGTCCTCCTTTTGCCGGATACTAGTAGTTGGATAGTTTTACAACTCTTGTCATTAGCGCCACAGTCAACTTCTTTGGAATTGCCTTGAATGGAATTTGATGAAAGTCAACCCGAAACAACGCTTTCAAATGTTGGTTATTTTGTTCCGCCTCCAGATCATGTTTGCCTCTGCTGGCGTAGTTAATGTGAACTTCAAGTTCATCTTTCACGGGCTCAAATACCAGATGGAATTCCCCATCGCAATTAATCTTTTCCACCGTGAAGTCACGCGCATTACACAACCAAAAACATTTATCAACTGTTCCACTAAGTGGCTTTTTGGACCAGATTTTCATGATTTCTGACCCTGTTTGGGCGGCATGATTCTTGATCTAGGCGGAACCATTGCCTGGGTCCCAGAAAATTTAAACAATAGGCATCCAAGGGAGGCTCTGGTGTATTGTTGAATGGATGGCTGTC